AGACCTTCTTCTTCCTACCGTCACTACCGTCTTCTTTGCATCTGCTTGTTGTCTTTTCGGCAATAATGTATATATATTAATAATTTATGCAGTATAAACGAGTCCCGTCTCTTTAAGGATGCGACTCATTTACAAAAATAGTCTATACTGTTTCTTAAATTGTATTCTGGTTGTGTAAAAGGGTTTTCTGGGATACAGCGATCGATACGAGAAACTCCATAAAAGCTTATAGCGAAACATAACGAAGAAGTTATCAATGGGACCATATGTGTGCCTTGTATAGATATTAATAGCTACCATATGGAAAAAACAGACTCGTAACGAAATTTGCTTAAAGTTAAATAATTCTCAGGCTTATTTTGAGTTGTAGACTACTTGTAAAAGTACTTTGGAGAGATTTTCAGATACAGAAAAGGTTGAGNTATATAGTTAATTTGGGCCTCCTGTCCCCAAAGTTCCCTATCTGGTCTTGTCTTTCATCTATTTAACACCGTTCTCCAGATTAAGGAAGGACAGATGGATGGCAGTGGGAATTTATAGGTCTACAGTTATTTTTCAATTGCTGCAAATTGATTCAAATCAGATGATGTTTAAAATCATACAAGATGAATAAAAAGTTCCTTGCAACGAAAGGTTGCAAAGAACTTTTTATTACAGTCGGATGGGTCCATTTTTGTTGTTCTTTAAAATGATGTTCAAAATGAAAATATCCCATCTGATTCCCTGCACTTCCAGTATAACTATATTAACAAAATTAATATAACTTCAGTACTTTGGAACAAAAAAAAAGGTAAAAAGGTAGCAAACTTTTGACTTGCCTGTATTAATTTATATTTTTGTCTTGATTTTAACTGTTAATGATATATAAAACTATTATTATTTATAAAGAATTGCATAAATTATAAATGTGAAGATTACAGTAAAATGTTGGGGTTTGTATACAGAAAGTAGAGACAGAACCATTGATTTTTTTTGAGAAAGATACAAAAATGTTAAACTCCTAACCAAAATCAAATTGTGTTTTATTTGTTTAGACATAACAATTACCTACATAGTGTACATAACTGATAATATACAATTCCAGCAGCAGTATAGTTAAATGATTATGCATTCTAATCAGACTTTTTCCAAGCAATAAAACAATATGTATTTATTTATTTTGTAATAATTTATCTAAATTTAGACTTAAATACTTAACATTAACTACCCACATCATTTTCAAGTAACATTTTGCAAGCAATACAATTTGAAAAATTTGGGAATTTTGTACTCCTAAAATAATGAAATCATATCAAATAGAGAATGTAATTTCTTTTCCATTAAAATAAAGCACAAGTGTTTCAGCTAAGTTTTGGGTAAAAAAAAAAGGCTGCAACATTAAATGTCACTCTTATCAGCAGGGCCAAAGTTGGAGAGGCCTTAAGCTAAAATTTTTTTGATATCCTAAAAAATGAGTTAGTCTGATATGGATTCATAGCCACATTTACTCTTGGACCATTCTTAAAAGATGCTAGTACTAATGAGTCTGTCACATGCTCTGATGATCAAGAAACCATGAAATGGTGAACATTTTATCATAGCCCAATTGCAATAGCGACAATGCCTTCAGTCAACCACTTTTGTACAAGATGCACTTCTACATATTGAACACTTAACATTTCATCAATATCCGATTACTCACACATTTACTATCATCTGGNGCTAGACGGCGAAAAATATATATTTAATTATAATAAAGTTACAATAAATTAAGTTAATATATAATTATATATACAGTACGTAATTTATATATAATTAATATATAATTATATGTACAGTACCTAATTTATATATAACTTATATATAATACTGTACAGACGATAGGAAACTCAATTTACCCGCCTAAATTCTCTGTAGCGAGGCGCTGGACGGCGGAAAGTAGTTCGGCTGCCCGATGACGTTTTACCGAATTATAAGTTTTTTACCAGGTTTGTACGGATACCGTCGCAATTTTTTCGCCGTCTTATAGGAACCCGTGTTATGGGGGGGTCTATTGTATTGTCAAATCTAAGTTGCGAAGCAGCGCGAGCACGGAAATGTTGGTCTTCGTGTGAAAGACCAGTGTTGTGTAAATTTCAGCCTCGTAGAATAAAAATGCTGTCTTTCTTTTTAACCGGTTGTAAGCTAAAGTTTATAATTATCTGATCACACGAATATACACCTCGTGTTCTCAAATCGAAATTGTATACAAGATCATTCTGATTATCGTTTAGCTATATGCAAAACAATAATCGAGGATGACAAAAGTTTGGCTGATATTCCTTGGTATGTAGGCGAGTTGCCGCTTTTGAAGAGGCACTCAATGTATGCCGAGAATTATCTAATGTAACAGTCTCGACACAGTTGCCATTTTTAAAACGCTGGAATTAAGGTAATATTTTAAAAGGAAAAAGTTAGTAACAGCATTAAAATACAAATTTTAATCATTTTCAATAAAACTATTTCTTCTTATTTCGTGACAAACTGTGTATCAATGTAAACAATATATTCTGCCATTTGATCGTAAATGTACGTATATCGAGAATTCTTAACCGATAATGTATGTTAATACTAAAGAATTCTGTTTACTAAATGGCGTAACAGTACTTATACGACTGAAAACATCACACCGACAGTCGATAGTCCTTCGGTACAACCGACTGAATCGCATTTAGCTTCGTCAAGCCCGTGAAAATTTGAATTACGGAGTACAGTGTCCATCACAGATATTTTCTTCGGGGGAAATTTTTGGAGAAATATTTTCTTATAAAAGATCGGTTCGGGGACTCGTGTTGCGGTAGCCTCGTGCAATTTCTTTTTTGCCCATAGGATAATGCGCTACTCTACTGTTTTTCAATAGATCGTACCCAACATTATTACACTGTAATAGCATGACACAGGCGTGCTTTTTACGCGTATATTTTTCTAACCGCGTTATAGTGGCGGTGAATTTAAATAATTGTATAGATTACACAATGCATATTTTATTGTGTTAAAGGTCCAACTTCCAAAGTAGGACATTTAAGCATAAATATTGAACTTAGACACGTGGTTACAGACTGCCCTACTAAAAGTAGGTTACAGTCCTGTTTATTTCTTATCGATATAAGATCCTGGATTTTTTGGCATTTTTAAAACTATAGATTCTATTTTTGTTTTTCAAAAACGTAGTTTATTTTATAAAGTATTAATCGAGTATTAATAGTTTTCAATCAGTAAACCATACAAAGTAAAAAATTTACTTGTTCTTTAAATCAAATTAATTCATGGGCAAAATTCATATAAGTGAATACATTAGCCACAGTGGCGTACCGTGGGTGTCAGCCGCCCGAAGGAGGAGGAAAATTTCGGCCCCCCTTATTTAGGTATTTCAATTTAAAAGACCAAAATTCAGTTTTGTCACAGAACAAGCAATGAAAAATTCGGTGATAGAGCAGCGACCTGTTTAAAATAGTACTATTGGATATTAGTGGTGTATATGAACGCGAATAAATCGTACAAGCAAATAAAAAAAAAGTCAACAGGTTTCGCAGGAACTCCTCGGATGAAAAAGTTACTAGTTCAACCGGCGAGCCGATTCCCGGACTGTCCGGACGATAGCACTATCGTAGGCGCGATGCAAGTATAGATTAGGATGTTTCAAATTTTTACAAGATATTATTATTATTTATTGTGAAATTTTGCCGCCCCCTAAAAAGTGTCGTTGCCGCCCCCTAAAAAGTGTCGCCCGGAGCGGGCCGCCCCTGCCGATCCTACTATGGTATGTCACTGATTAGCCTCCTACTCTAGTGGACTAGGGGATTGAATTTGGACGAGTGAGAAACCATCAGGTATTTTCCGAAGGGGTAGTCGCAGATCCGTGTCGAACAGTTTTGGTGCCCAAGGCAAACCTCACACCTTGCGCCTGATTTAACGTTAATTAGAAAAACATTCTACTGACTCATTTTGGTGTCCGGGCACATGCCCACGTTAGTTACGCCATTGATGGTCCATCCCTCATCAACCTGCTGCTCAATTGAGTTTGGCCGAACCCACAATTGAGCAACTTACTCGTTAGTGCTCACAATGCGGAGTAAAAAAAGAACGAGTACGAGTACAAGTAAATTATGACACTTAAGTGCTATCAATAATAAATTCATGAATCGCGAACTTAAACAAGAAAACAATTGATGTTGCATCCTTTATTATTCAAATATGGATATTTCGAGTTTATTTTATATTCTAAATATCTTTAAATTAACCGAATCACTCATTAAATTAAGACTAATCTAATTTTCGGTTCTTAAATTAACATAACGATACAATCAAGCATATCGACGCCATTTTGGAAAATGTAATACAATAGTGTTTGAACGGAAGTAACGCCCTCTTGTGATGAAGAGAGGAACGAATTTTTTAAAAGTTTGCACGTGTTCTTTGCGCGCTTGCGCTTTCTCCGATTTAGCACAATTGGATGTACATTCGTTACGGAACTTCGTCATCAATTTCAGGATGTAGAGGAGTAACTCGATGGTTCTGCATGTCTAGAATAGTTGAAAAGTCATTCAGGCATTTAGTTTGTCGACTTTACGAATCTATGTAACTCGAGACAGCGATTCTGTATGTGAAAACAGTACAGCTATATTTAATGAGACAATGTTCCAAAAATACAGGCCAGAACGTTAAAACTGTTTTAAATTATCGTTTTGGAGGAGGGAAGTGTGTATATATGATAAATCTAACTGATCACAAATAAATTGAATATTACTTCCTACTAAGACGGAAATTATGAACAATTTTTAACGCGTCATAGATAAGTTATCTATGACGTTTTATTATGAGATGCTACGTCATATCAAATAGATTATTATTAACGTTCACAAATTAAATTAAAAATTACTCGTATTTGTAATTTCCCACGATTTGTTCCATTTAAAAATAAGAAACGATATATGACGTGTGTAAATTAATTTATTAAATTTTTTTTTGCTACGCACAATACATATTAATTTCCCATATATGTTTATTTATCGAATAAATATAAAATCGCAAAATATTTACCAGCAGATTCTGTTTACTATGAAGACGTACAATCAAAAATATATATCACAAAATATTTGGTTTGTATCGAGATACAGCACACGCGTGCAATAGTCAAGGCTATAGAAACATGTGAAAGGAAGGAAATAAGGCAAAAACCCTTATTACCACATACAGAAAGAAGAAGTGACTAATTCTAGAATAACGTAGCCAAATTCTGTTTACTCTTTTTCGATAGCAATAGTGTGCTCTTTGGTAAGTTCTAAAGGTCCTGGCAGAGGAGCTTCGATTGTCAAGACTCCATCTTTGGATAATGCTGACTTTATCTGTTCTGGATCGGTTCCTTTTGGAAGAAGAAATTCCCTATTGTACTCTCGATAAACTGACTTGCTGTCTGTTTTCTCTTCGTGTTTCGCTTGAACCTGAAGGAAAAACAAAAGTTTTTCAAATAAATAAAAATTTTGTTGGAACTTAACATCTGTAAGGACTAACAAATTTAATTAACAATATGAAAATCGTTTTCATTAATTACATGCTGCTTACATTATAAAATTTCAAATAGGAGAGTTTAAAAGAAAAGTATGTGAATGAGATTCTTTCACGTATAAATAAGTAATGAGAGAAAAAAAAAAGCAATGTTTAAAAGTTAAAATACCTACGAAATATATTATTTTTAGAATCGTGTTTTTTACTAGGAGAAGTTAGCATTTAGGTCACGACGTCGAGACATCTTTGCCAAAACTTCAACTTTTAAAACTTTCCTGAGTCATACTTTAGCATTGCAACTCCTGGCCTAATGATGTACAAGGGTGTTTCTTGGATTACATCGAGACAAAAACGAACAGGTTGATCCAAATCTCAAAAAACGAGTTCGTGAAATACGAGATTAATAGATTACACGGGCATATTTTAGGGTAAAGGTAAAGGAACTGAAGAACACGAAGAGAGGTTCTATAATACGAGATGTTTACACCACAATTCTGTAGTTTATTCATCTTAAATTTTACTAAATTTTATTAAATTCTGTATTTTTTTTAATTTTATATAAAAGAAGTTATGAATAAAATCTTGAAAATTTCCCCTTTCTTAAAAGGAAGCTAACTATCAATTTCATTCAAGGAAACTGCGTATCGATTTTCGTTTTTCCTCAACAAGATATATTAAACAACGGAAATTCTCGGAACGAATGAACATTAAAGAAATCATTCATCACGTGATAACGTCACTCCTTTACAACTGAAACTTGTTGTATTTTCTGATTTAATAAGTATAGAAAATAAATAAATAAATAAATAATAATAATAATAAACGAAGCTACCCGAACGGAAACACATTCTTTTACTATTCTGCAACAAAATCAAAATCACGCAGCAATTTATTTTGACGTATGAATACAACAGATTGATTTTAACGTTAAAAAAACTTATTTTTAAAGTATTAATGGCTTAAAACAATGCACATTTATTTCCACCGAACAGATTTATAAATGAAATTTAAGATTTAATGATTAATTCATGAATTTTTTCCCACTGTGGTCTGCCATGCTGCTGACTGTGAAAAATTTATGAAGTTGCCCGGACAGCATTGGTTAAATGAATAAAAATTCTTCGCATTAGTTTCACTCGAGTAAACCAGAGCTAGACTACTGTAAAAAAGATATCTGCATATATATTTTTCCAATTAAACAATATAAAAGATCATTAAAAATTTACTTATAAAAAGTAAAAAAAAATTTCAAAGAGAACACACAAAAAGATGAGGATATCATGACTAATTTAGTCAGGGTAATAATTTACGTAATCAGAAAGATCCTAGATTGAAGCTAGTTACACAAGTAAGATAAGTTTGCTTGTTTATTGCTCAATACATCTTGCCGAACTATCATTAATACCTCATCACGATCGCATTATGTCAGAAGACCTTGAAATAATAACAGGTGATGGCTGCATATATCCGTCATTATTACTATACTCTTTGTGTCATGGTCGAATCAACTAAGACCATTTAGGAAACAGGACTTTAAAAAGTCTTTATATAATACAAAGAATTTGCATCAATAAATTACTCAGCTGATTTTTAAGAGCAGAATTACTAAGCTGCTTTAATTACAAGATCATTGTTGAAATTTCTTGTAAACAAGAGTTGGCAAATGTCACTTTATTACATTTTTTTTTAAAAAAAAGAAATCTAGATTTTGCAATAAACATTTTGATATTTAAGATTTATAAAGCCTCATAATTAAAGAAAATTAAAAATTGTATCAATTTGTTGTTCTAAATATTTAACTTTCAGATAATAATCTTGGCTTGTTTTCTATTTTAAATTCCAAAATGATCTACAGGAACAGACATTTCTTTTGTAGAGGCAACCAGGTCAAGATCAGATTCTTTTATAGTGTTATTTAAACTATTTGAAACTAAAAATGTCTGAATTAGCAAGTAACCCAAACAAAAATTTATAAATTAAATATATATTTATAAAAATTTTATAGTAATTATTTATATAAAAATTAATTTGTTTAAACTTAACTTACTTAAATATTAAAAAGAAGTATAAAATTCAGAAAGAAAAAACTTATGCATCAAAGATGTGATTATTAAAAACATTTCTGGGGATTCATCCAATAACTTTGAATCAGAACAAGTTCATTGGCATTTGTTCAAAAATTATATAAGTAACAATATATCTAAATTTAAACTATTATAATTTAAGATAAAAACAGACTAAACTATTAGAAATGTGCGTTTCGAATTGAAGGAATAATTAAGGTTGATATTATCTAATATTGAAATTCTTATACAATAAATAAATATGAATATTCATAATTTGTTATGCATTTGCATAACAAAAAGAATCGAAATTTTCTTCTATATGTAAACACCTTAACTGAATAGTAAATTGAAATCTAATAAATTTATAATTATTTCAGCTTAAACTCATTCAATATATTAATCATAGAACACTCACCTGTAGTCTGTTATCCACAGTCTTGACCATGATTTCTTCGGGTTGATATTCACTAACATCGAAGCGAAGTTTTAATATTTTCCCACTTGTACTATCTTGAATAAGAGGTGAATTCATTCCGTCTAACCATGCTCGAACTTCTGATCTATGAGTTGTTTCACCGCTCACGGATGACGACTGAGTGATGGTGGCTTCCTCTTGCTTTTGAGACTTCATACCAAAGAATTCGTGTTCACGACTTAACATTTGCGAACGGAATCGATTCATCTCGTCTTCCATCCTTCTCATCTCGTTATCGAATCTTTCTCGAATAGAACTAAATTCTTGATCCAAAACACTAAAATCTGTTTTCAGAATTGGTAATCTTCTCTCTGGGGCCATCCTGTTAGAGAATCATTGAATATGTATATAAATTATGTACATACTAAAAGAAAATTAATATAATAATTTAACAACTTCAAGTTTTTCACTCTAGGTTATTTTATCTTCATTAGAATTAGGAAAAAAAAAGTAGTTTATTGAACTGAAAAAATTATAATAAAATAATCTGTAATAAAAACAATATTAAAACTATTCTTAGGAATTAATTAAACAACAAATATAAAATATTTAAAAAATTTGGTTTATTTTTGAAAATTAAAAATTAAGATAAGTCAACTGCTGGATTTTTTTTAACAATCTAAATTATCATATCATATGTATACTATGATAAGATAAAATATTTTATATCTTTTATAAGAATTTCAGTTATAATTTTGATAAGAAAATCTTAAAATTATTGTTATACAGATTTATACTAATATATGAATTATAATTTTGACACAAATACATTAAAAACAATTAAAATAGTAGTTATACATATTACAGTAGCTTTATCCAGCTTATGTCAAACTGTTGGGGCAATTATACAATCTATAAAATTAATAATTTATTAGCATTTATTTCTAATAAATATAGAAAGTTTTAGAAATATAATGTGTATTTTAATAAAAACAGATATTTTTAGACATTGTCATTATCATAATATTATTTATACAACTTAGTTTGATGATTGATAAGAAAAGAAATTTAGCTTTCAATAGCTATAAATTTAACTAAACTTTCAATTTGTTACAATAGTAAACATATCTATCTATATATGTTTTTCCCCCTCTCACTTTTAAGGAACCTTAATTGAAAATTTTATTAAATTTCTTCCAAATAATGCACTTAGAATTTTACTGACAGATTATTAATATTCACAATAGTTAATATAAGTATTTTGTAACAAAAATGGGAGGATACAAATCGAAATTATTATTAGTACAGTAGAACTCCGATTATCCAAAGAAATGCGGACAGATGCTAAGTCAGATAATAACAACAGCAATAATTGTTTTGGATAAAAATTACAAATAAAAAAGATTAATTGGTATATCACTTTTAAATTCTTTTCATACCTTATTGAATTTAATCATATAGAACAACATTTTTTACATCATTTATTATACAGCTAATATACATACAATAGTTTAAGAATAGAAATGTGTATTATTATAGTTCTATTTTAATATGAATGATTTATCTCGCATTTATGTTAAACGACAAAAGGTAACCAACAAATCATTTTATAATATGTGTTACTGTTTTAAACATTTTTTACAAATTACAGTATAAGAATAGTAGTGTAGTGTATTCTAATGACCTGCAGTGACATTTGATGATAGGGAAGCTGTTTCCATAAAAATTATAACCAAATACTAGAAATGACAAAAATAAACAGTTTATTTTAATTCTAAAATAGATACATTGACATGAAACAAAGATATAAGAACTTGTTTATGAAAATAATCGCACAATATGTATTTATATTTTAGAAAATACAAGGAAAGCAGCACTTTCAGACTGCACGCCACTGGTGTATTCACTTACAAGTTTGGATAATGAAGAACCTCAGGTAATGGGGGTTCTACTGCATAAACAAACATTTTATCGCATTTTGAATGCGGGTAACACAAAAACTGATTTATATTATTACAGATTATAGGCATAGAAACATACCAGCATTCAGATTACGTAATTGTTAAAATAGAGCAAAACAACACAAATGCTTATTCATAGTATTTATATTATTTTACTTCATTTTATCATTTGGACTATGTCTTCGAATACGTCAAAATATGATAAATCATTTATTTTAGTAGTGTATATGAATAATTTATGTCAAAATTTAAAATATGTTTAGATTTTTATGATTAGAAATTTGATCAATGACTATTATCCAAAATTTTTAAGAAAAATTTAGAATATATTTTTTTTTACCAATCTGAACTCCTCCATAATTTAAAAAATAATTTTTTATAATAGATATCAAAGGTATCCTTATATTAATATAAAAAATTTGAAATGTGCTCTTTATTATTAGTAGTGTGTTTCAGTTCTATAATTTATAAAACTTCGAAAAACATTGATTTAGGATAAAATTCTATTTAGATTGATTTTTTCTGATTGTAAATCAACTTTTTAATTCATACACAGAACTATTATATGTCAAATATTTTATTACACTAATGGATTTTGTTATTCATCAATTTGATCAAATTTCATTAAAAAAAAAATGAAAACCATGACATAAATATAAATAAATGAACAATTCTGAAACAAATTTAGTATATATATAAATTTATATAAATAAATAATACATAAATTGTTCACTTATTTAACTGCCACAAAGTTCTATTTGAAATATTTCAAAAATAAATAAACTTACAAATTCAATTGCAGAATTGCATTCGCAAAAGTCGAATTCTTCTATATTAAATTATACAAAATTGTTAGTTGTTAGTGACAATAATACATTAGATTAAGCATTATTCTTAATTGAATTATGACAGTAGAAAAATAAATTAAATGATTAATTTCACAGGAAAAATATAATACGAGTTGTATATACTTCTCCTGTAACAATCATCTAATTCTTTTGTACCATTCCATAAAAATTAAAATTTCAAATCATTTTATAATTGGGAAAAGTAAAAATTTCCTAAATTTAACATTGAAAAGTAAAAAAAAAATACCTTTATTATTGAAAGAGGGGAGTATTATATCAATCTAACAATAAGAAATGTAGTAAAATAAGACAGATTAGTTATATTCCTAATTATATCCACATCAACGACCAGACACACAGACTCACCACCAACTTCAACAACACACTCAGAGTTAAGTTTGCGATGAATCTATGCATGAGGTCGTTTATAATTAAAACGAGAGCGAGTAACTTCTCTAAGTATAAAACTAAGCTCGGAATTGGTATTTATATCTCGAAAACATAGTTAATTAACATTAAAACTTTTAAGTGTATGAAATAACGCATTAATAAACTCTGTCACCGATATAATTACTAATTGTAATGTGATATTAGAGTAGTAGACACAATTAGTTATAAACGTATACGGTTAGAACGGGACGTACCTTGTTACAAACGCTTTACGAGGTCTTTAATTCCACAAATACGTGATAACACCGACACACCAAGCAACTCTTACTAACAAACTGCGAAAGCGCACGCGCAATTAGCATCATTTGTCGTTATCTGATTGGTTGTTCGTTCACACGCGTGTTAAAAATTTTTCAAAAACGTATTGTAACTTCATACATGATTTTCCCATAATTCATTTGATTTTTTTTTTAATTTTTTACTAATTAAACTTTATTGAAAAATGTAAATTATTTTATAAATTGATATTTATGTTATTAATAGGATATTTTAAATTTATTTTCGTTTTAATTTTTAAGCATTTCTAGTATATCAATTTACTCGGCTTCTTCTTCGGGGTTAAAATATGTGGAAAATATGAGCAGACAGTTTATCGGCGATCGATTTAGAAATGTAGGACGTAGGGTGTAGCTAAGAGGACATTATTGATTGTCTGTATGTTGAGGTTAACGTTCCTCAGCATATCCAGTTCCCATAACAACTGCTGTCCAGTATTTAAGAAAGCAAATGTATCATACATTATAAAGTTTTCAGGCCTTTCTAACATTGAATTAGCATCATTTAAATTCAATTATTTGAATTAAAAATTCATCCCACAATCTATTTTTGAATTTTTTAAAACTCATTCAAAGACTTTTCCATTTATAAATCATATTATCCAAAGTTAACAATATCATACATTACATTATTAAGCTATTTATAAATGTCACATTCTATAAATTTATATCATTTTCTTATTATGTTATTAGTTTAAAACTGTATCTTTTTTACACATATAATAACTTAAGTATTTTGTAATGTTAATTAATTAATCACCAGAATTTAAACTATAGTATAATGAGTAATTGGGTTAATAGAATTAGTAACATAAATAGAATCTCTAAATATAAATTCATTGGCATAGATAGGATTTTTTTTCTATAATAAGTCTATGGTACTCACTTTACATAGACTTAGTATAGTAAAAAACATCAATGCCAATGAATTTATATTTAGAAATTGTACAAATACAAGTAGTTCAAATAGGCAAAATACTTCTCCTTTATAGATTAGATATGGAATAAATTCCTATTCTTAAATGGTAAACTTGCATCTAGTTACAAATGTTTGGCATATAAAGTATCTTTAAGTATGGAAATCATAAAATATTATAAGAAAATATGAGTTTCTTAAGTATTCAGTTACTGTACTTCTAAAGTTATTGAAAGAAGCAAGATATTATTCTAGTCACATAGCATGTACTAAATCAATAGATATCTAATTTTCTAGCTAAGTAAGCAAACTCTTATCATTTCTCCATGGAGAGTGAAATATTTTATTAAATTAATATTCAAATTAGTTAGCAACATTACTAATTACAAAACAATAAAGATATCCCTTAGAAAACAATTATGTGTACAGGATATTGTACACAACTGAATTCTGTTTTTTTTTTTTTTTTTTTTAAAATAAACAAAATAATAATGTTAAGCTTATTATCATTAGAGAAAAAATTTCCAGGAAAAATGAAAATTAGTAAAATTAAAAAAAAACATAAGGATAAATTACTATATTATAATTAAAATTTTTATTTATAAGAAGTTTGTTTGTGTAAAAAAATTAAATCAAAAATTAAAATAGTAATATAAAAATAGCCAAAACTATAATCAATAACACCTAAAGTTTATTTTATTATGGATCTGTCTGACTTGTGAGTTAAAATCTTGAATTTAATATTAAATAGTATGTTATAAAAGATAACACACACAGGGGAAAATATTAGAAATTATTTACAGATTCATTTTTTATTTATTTTGCTTATAACTTGGAAAATATATTTAAAATTTTTTAAAAAGCTAGATACATTCTGAATAATTCATTCTTATAACATTGTTTTTGAGATCTCGACCGGATATTAAAATTTTATTATATATATATAAATGCTAGCGTTAAAATTCTCATGATACTGATCTTAATCCCATTTGCAAGTTAAAAAATTTTTAAAGATAAAATCTGGAAAAATATTTCTAGAATAAGAATTTATATTATATTGAAAATGTAATTAGGTTTAATAAAATCGCTTTGATTCAATACGCGATATTTGACAGACAAATTTAATAAAAAAAAAATACAATATTTTATCTGTCAAATAATTTAATAAAACATTCTCATAAGCTTTTGAATAATGTGCAATATAAGTTTATGATTATTCTTCTTGTAAGTCATGCATTTTACATCTATAACACGTCTAAGAAGCGAGATCCGTCGATGGGGATTTGTAAATCAATATACGATTTTTCATAATTTTGCTATGCAGATTTCAAAAATGTTATCCATTTTCCTTCCATTGAGTCAAGTTTTCTCACAATCGATGAAAGTAAAAAAAAAAAAAAAATTCCCATATATCACAGTACACTAGCATATATTTATTTCCAGATATCAGGACGTGTAACAAAAGAAAGAAAAATACAATTGGAAATGAGAGATAGCAGTAAAACAAACTTTAAAGTTCAGTTAACTTTGTCAATCTTAAAGAATATTGTTGTTATCTTGGCTTTGAAAAACTTTGTGGATTTCTGTTTCTTCTCTTCTAACACGCTAACAATAGCCAGACATTTACATTCTCATTCGAATATCCTTAATATCTTCATTCTATTTCTTTTTTATCTTAGGTGAAATCTTTCATCCTGCTTTTCATTCATTGCACCGAGATTATCGGGAAAATACTGTACAAGAAAATACAACAAATGTTTTTTTTTTTTTTAGCTTCATCTGGTATTCTATTTTTTTCGAATTCATACAGCATACGTTCCATAATATATTTTAAAGCCAGAACATCTTTTGTTTCCACGAAATTTATACACATTTCTGAAATCTTCTTTTAAGGCCCATATCCGAATCATCTCTACAGTGTCTCTCTAATATTTCAACAATAGCTAATTATGGAAATTGCACTGTAGTAAATTTACATAAGGCTATATGTTATCTGTGACTCATAATTGTGACTCAATCTCTCGGATAATTGGTTCTAGAGCAAATCATCCGAAAAATAACACAATAGAGAATAGATAAGAACTCTTATAGTTTAGTAAGTTATAATATTCTAGAAAAACTAACCAAACATTCTAGAATAGAGTAACTGAAACTAGTTTGAATTTGGTTTATATCGATGGTAAGAAAAGATTGCATGAAATTTTATTCTGGAATATCCTGTTTTATTGAAGTCACTTTAATCAGTTAACGAATACAAATTATAATATATTCTTAAGCGATTTTTCTAACTACAAAACTCTTAAGTACTTTAAAATTAATTGACTTCGATAAAGTAGAACTTTAGTAATTTAAAGATAAATTATAATAAAGTATCGTAGTTATTTACGTAGAAGTTCGGAAAAATAAATGTTTCTGAAAATTTTAATAAAGTTGTAATTTAAATAACGTGAAAGCTGCTTATTTGTTATTTTAACTGTTTTGTTTATTCGCATCTGTAATAAATCAAACAATTTTAAACAGAAACTAGAGATTAAATTTTCTCGATCGCTTACGTGCATTAAATCTCGTAGCTAACATTGGGAAATTATGCAAATTAATATTTACGCGAAATAACTGTCATTATGGTAAGTATCCAATTTTCGATATTTAAAATTAAAAAAAAAATTAAATATATATTCTAAAACAAATTTTTATTTTCCAATTTTTTTACTCTTTCCTCCATGTGGGCACTAAGAGCGCTTCTCCCCGTATCCATCGTCGGTGCCCACCAGTGACCGGGTGGATAGAACCGCTGAACCGTTATTATATTTTATTTAAAAACTTTTTATATTTTTAACTATTGTTAAATGGCAAAAAGCTTAATTTTGAAGGTAGGGATGGGTTTTATAAGAAATTGTAAATGCTAATAACGAATAAAATCGTGACACTACTGGAGAAACACACGACCCCCATTATCTCTCCAATCCCTTGATCATTTATCACAAACATTTAACAGCATCAATTCCCCTAATAAACAAACCCCTCTGCAAAATTTCAGAAATTTTCGACAAAAAGCACAGGAGTTATTAAGCTTCAAACAAAGTGAGCAAAGTCGTGCCTCCCCCCATACATACACACTAACGTCCATACCTACAGAGAAAATCTCGAAATTTTTTCATTTCTCGACGTTTCAAGGTGTTCCGAGTCCAAAAATGTAAAATTCTACGGGGAAAAATGTTTTTTGACCGATTGTCATACTTTCCCTCTGTTATATATAACAGCCAGGAAAATAAAAATGATAAGAGTTAAAGCAATCAAAGCCGAATTAACGGGCTGGAAGCGGCTATAATAATAATAATTTAAGATAATTTAGTATTAGAGTTAGGCGTTAGGAGCCATCTCATGATAAATTTAATAATTATAATTTTAATTAAATAATTTAAATAAATTTAGAACTAACTGGAAGAAAAGAATCGGCCGGAGCCGCTCCTAGCCCGTTAATTCGGCTTTGGTTGCTTTAATGTTTATCGGGTTAGCTGATGTTTGATTATATGATAGGAGTTAAACGGAATCAGGAAACTGGTAAGGTTAACGAAAGATAAACATCGCTTGTAGTAGTTAAAATTGCAAAATGTCAGAACGAGAACCATAAAGATCTAAAATACGAGCGTAAGTTTCGAAGTTCCATCAACATCTCCCGGTCAGAGTCGAGAGACGGTGTCGGGTTGAATACCGAAGATCGACCTTTCTTGTGACCCGATTCGATCTTATTTCCACCTGAAAACAAGGGAGGAGACAATCGGGAAGCAACGAGAAGGAATCGGAACCAGTTAGGTAAAGAATTCGGAGATGAAATTCTTTAATTAAATATTCGAATTTCAAGGACAAAGCGCGGATTTCTGTCATTTTAACATTGAGAACCCCGGGGCTGCCAAGGAAACATCGAAGGGACACCTGCAACAGAAAGCTTTGGACATTTCCTACTTTACGATCCTCTCGACTGAAAAGGAGCATCTTCCCAACGACCAGTTTACAACCTTTAATAAACGGGTTATTATTGTAACGGTGTCTGAATCAGTGTGTCCACCACCATCAACATACTGTTCATAAAACCCCTCGTATATATTAATTTAAGT